GAACGCTGCCTCCGTCCCCCGGAATCCCGTTGCCGGGTGCCGTCGGCGCCTCCTCGCGCACAAACGGCGTCGCTTGCCCTGGCCCATGAGCCTCCATCACGTCGAGGTCAGACTCACTCTCTGAGTTTCTTTCCCCCCCCCAACCTTGGCATGATGCATCCGCTCTGCTCTCACCTCCCCGCCCTCCTCGTCATCTGCGAGAGGTAGCAGTGCGCGTGTGCTCGTGCTCTTCTGGACGGGTTTCACCTGTCCCTTGGACATCGAACAGCCAAGACAGGGTAGCAGCGGTCCATCCGTCAGCTGCACTCCCTGCTGCTCCGCCGTGATCCTGAGCAATGTCTCGTGGGCATGGCCGTGCGCGAGGTGGTACTCGTTGAGGTCAGTGGGGTTGGCTGCTTTCGCATCGCCAGGAACAATGAGTGCGGCACAGGCGGTGTGTAGCGTTGGCTTTATTTGATAGCCTCGTTGGGTCAGCAGCTTTCCAGTCCGGGGGAACCACACCTCCCCCCCGGCTTTCGTGGTCAGCGTGAGGCCCCCCTTCATCCCCGAATACGTGTGGCCCTCCTCCGCCAACGAAGACAGCGAGAGGAGGTTGTAGGGGGCCTCTGGTACATGGGCAGCATTCAGTACTGGTACGGGTACTCCACCATCTTCCGTCTGTAGGACTAAGGTCACATCTCCGTATCCTAGAAGAGGAACGGGGGCCTTGTCGCCTCCGATCCCCTTCACCCAACCGCTACGCTCACGGTAGTTCACGAAGTTGTCTGCACATCGGAACATGGAGCACGTGGCCGCTGTGTCGGCCACGTACACCGCCTGGCCTTGTTCCACAACCCCCACTAGACCTACTTCACCAACGGTACCACACTCGCCTGGGGGGACTGCCACGGCACAAAACGCCTGGTCTTCCACGGAGTCCACCTCGCTCTCATGCTCCACCACTTGCGCAAGGACGGCCTCCTCCGTCGCGCACTTTTCGTTGGTGTGGCCCCACCCCTCGCAGCGCGCACAACACGGCACGAAGTCCTTCTCGATGGTAGTGCAGCCGATCGCTTGATGTCCACGATGTCCACACCTAAATCACCGGCCCGGGAACTTATAGTCCCCGCCACCGCCGCCATCGGCGCCTCCACTGCTGCTTCCCTTGCTCTCCTCGACTCCTCCGGGTCCGCCTGAGCGGCCTTCGCGACCGCCTCCGCCGCGGCCGCGACTGCTGCTGTGGCCACGGCCGCCGCCACGACCACGACCTTGCCCCTGACTCCTACTGGAGTACCGCTCCCTGCGGCCCTCATTGTCGGCGAAGTACGCTTGCTCTGCGCCCTTCGCCCCGTTTCCTTTCCCCTGCTCCAGCTTGTCCTTGATCGCCTTGTATTCGATCATTGCTTCCTTTAGCACACCGGTCCGCGTCAACTCCTTCGCGTGTCGTAGGTTGTGCTTTGTAATGGCATACTCGTCCGAAAGGGCATCGAGGAAGAGGTGAAGGACGAACGTTTCGTTGACAGTTAGCCCTTTCTCGGTTAAGGACATTCCGGTTTGGAGCATCTCATTTAGGGCGTTTTGATTTTTTTCACCTCTAGAGATCTTGGTCGACGTCAGGGACTTGAGGTCCTCTGACGGCTGTACAGATGATTCAGGGTCGTGTATGGTCTTGAGCTCACGAAGAGCTCCCTGGGGCGTCTCTGCCCTCTTCATGATTTTCCGATCTTTTTCTTTCAACGCGTGAGACAGGAAGTTCCACGCGTGGAATGCGAGCTCTACTTGCTCGCTCCGGTACTGCTGTGACAGCGAAAACTTGCTCTTTCCGCTGATGACGGGGATCTCCAAACTCCCGCTTTCTTCAAACTGTTCCAACAGATTTGCGCCATTAGCTGCCATGCGGAAATCATTTAGCCATTCGTTGAAATATTTCGATTTCCCGCTGAACGGAGGAGAAGTGTACCGCACACTTTGGTACCCCGTCGCTGGGGTTGTGGCTCCGTATCCAAAGTCAACAGCAGCACCACCATCTCCCATGGCACTACTATAGCCTTGGTTGTGAGCAGCGGCTACTTTTACCTCTTGGGGAACAAAGCCCCCTGCTTCGCCTCTGTGTCGCCCTGACGGGCCAGACTCTCGCACAGGTTCGCCGTCCTGCGCACTCCCGGTCCACGGTGCCCCTCCTTCGGCGTTCGTGGACTCCGCGGCGGCGCTCTCCCTAGCATCGCTGCGATCAGCGGCACCCTCCATGGTGCCAGCTGGCTCCTCCATCTTGCTTGCCTTCATGGTATCTTCCACTAGCGACATTGGCTGGCTCATCTGATCCGTCAGCGAGCTAACTTGGGCCCTTAGGGCCGCGAGCTCTTCTCTTGACCTCTTTCTGGCTTCCGCCGCAGAGTCGCTGGAGGAGTCACCCCCATCTTTGCGACCTGACATTCCTAATGGACTCTCCCTCGAGGGACTGACACTAGTGTGTTCGTAAATGTCCCTTACTTGGAAGGGGAAGACGTTTTATCGCTTGTATTAGACACGCCAGGGGAGTAGGGAGAAGAGAAGCCCTCTTTGGTGTTCGAGGGGTCCCCGCACATGCAACCATTTCAAGGTGTACAAATGCTCCATCTGCGTGCCCTCTGTTGTTGCCGGTAGATCTAACCAGTCCGCATCCACACACACGAACAGGTGTCGTAGTTCAGGATTTTCGACACTGGTGTGGTATTTAGCATTACCGTTTTCTTTTGCAGTAAGTTTTCACCTACATTGACGTACCGCTCTCTCGCGCGCACCCGACAATTTCTGAGGTGACAATGGTTCAATTTTTGACTGATCGTCCCGCAACGTTGCCAATTTTTTGTTTCAGGTCATTTAGGCGAAAATGCCGCTACAGGGGGCGATCGCACCTCATGCAGCCGAAAGAAAAAAAAAAAAAATCTTCCGCGCGTGACCGAGTAGACGGCTGGTAGAGGAATGGCCTTCCCGAGAGCAACGGACGCAGCTGGCGCGAAAGCAGCGCTCGACAACGAGGATACAGCGCGGAGAAACGGGGCACCGCCTACGGCATTTTGGAGGACTTCAAGAACGAAATAGTGAAGGTGATCTCCGAAAGCAAGAATCGATTCAGGCAGCCCACCCCATTGATTTTTTCTTGCCACAGAACGAGCTTGAACGATCATCTTTGTGCCATTCTCCTTTTTTATCGGTACAGGAGCGCCTTTTCTGAGCTATCCCAAGCCTCAACATATTTGGGTGCCATCCTGCCCACGGTGTTGATTATCCTTGTCTCGAGTGTTTGCGCAACGAAACGGCAGATCGGCGCACCAGCAATATAAAAACCGATAAACAGCAGTGGCAGTGTTGCCTTGCAATTTTCGCCTTCCCGACCTCCCCCCGATCGCCCTTCTCACTTCTTTTTGCGACGGAAAATAATGTCCCAGGTTGATGGAGCGGTGGGGAAATATCTCGCAGTATGAGGGAGGGATGAGAGCGAGCGGGAATTGGGTGGGGACATGGGAGTGCTCGTTGCTCTAGGGGTTATCCAGGTGGCATTCCTGCATTATCGCCACATTATCTACTTCTGGGACACATTCGTTAAGCACAACGGGTTTTCGATACGTTCGCTTTTTGGCGTCCCTCGCATTCGTAGTGTGGTTCCTGGAAGGCCCACGCACTTGCCATTGTTGGTATATCCAGGAAGGAGGGCGAGGACGGTACGGTGGCAAGCTTTTTTTGTTGTTCCACGCAACTCGTAAAACCGTGGCATACTTGTTTTTTAAGGCGAAGCAATGCATTTGTAGGTAAAGTCGGTAAAGTACCTCTTGAGGAAATAAACATTGCGTGAGAATTGAGTGACACATGCTGAAATGTGGGTGCAAACATGTATGTGGCAGCATCGCATGCGTTCGTACTTTGTGTTGATAAAGCGGTAGCTTCTGGGGAAAAGTAGTTGAATTAAAGAGACCCTTGTCAGGAGAGACTGGTCAGAAAGTGGAGTGA